GCCAGTAGTGGGTGTGGGGAGTTCATGACGGCAGTAGAGTAAAAGGAATGGGGGGTAAGGCAACGGGCATTGATGGGATAAAGATAGAAATGTTAAAGCAGGTGGGGATATAGTTTTGGAGTGGTTTTGCGTGCAATTATTTATTAAATGTATGGAAGTGGTTAAGGTACCTAGGGATTGGCAGGGTGCATGCATAGTTCCTTTGTTAAAAGGCAAAGGGAGATAAAAGAGTGCAAAAAATTATAGGGATAAGTCTGTTGAGTATTCCCTGGTAACAGTGTATGGTAGAGTAATAATTGAAGAATTAAGGAGTAAGCGGAGATATAGGAATAGCAGATGAACTGGGAGGCTTTAGGAATGGTAGGGTGTGTGTGGACCAGGTGTTTACAGTGAAACTTATAAGTGAACAGATATTTAGATAAGGCTAAAGAAGGTCTTTGTGGCATTTATGGATTTGGAAAGGCATATCGACAGGTTGGATTGAGGGGGCGGACTATGTGGCAGATGTTGTAAGTGTATTGGTGTAGGATGTAGGTTATGAAAGCAGTGAAGAGTTTTTTTCGAGGATAGTGAGGCTCAAAGTTAGAGTATATGTAGGAACAGAGGGAAATTTTTTCCCAGTAAAAGTGGCCTTAGACACGATGTGTGATGGTCCACCGTGGTTGTTTAATATGTTATAGATGGGGTTGTTAAGAGAGTAATTGCAGGGTCTTGGCAAGTGGGTGGAGTTAAAAGATAAAGAATCACACACAAGTGGGAGCTGTCACAGCTGCTCTTTGCTGATGACACTGTGCTCTTGGGGATCTGAAGAGAAGTTCGCGGAGATTGGTGGATGAATTTGGTAGGCGTGTGCAAAAGAAATTAAAGGTGAATACAGAAAGAGTAAGGTTAATGAGGATAACAAAAAGATTAGGTGATGAAAGATTGGAATATCAGTTTGGAGGGAGAGTGTATGGTGGAGTGTGAACATATTCTGATATTTGGGATGAGGAGTGGAGTGTCAGCGGATGGGTCTATGAAAGATGAGGTGAGAATCCATAGTATTGATGAGGGGAAAAATGCGAGTGAGTGGTGCACTTTGGTGTATGTAAAAATCACAGTAAACGGGTGTTTTCAAAATATCAAAACAACCACTCTGAAAGAATAGAGAAATTCCAAGCGCTTTCGTGACTACTCACATTATCAAGGAACTATGAAAGTAAAGCATCCAAGGAAGCTATATAAGGGGTCTGGTCGGCACCTCACTATCAGATCCCACAAGGGTTTTAAAAACACGTGACGCGCGGCGAGCCAACTTGGAAAGGTCCTTGGCACAACTCACCCCACAAACTATTCTACCCAAGAAATAAGAAATTTTTAAAGATTATTTGTCCAGTGTATTATTAAATTCTTCCCAAATTCTATTAATTATAAATGGATCTAATTTATATAAACCAAAGGAAATATTCATATTATTGTCAAAACTGCTTTTTATGAAACAAGATTCAATTATATTCCTGTCGACCATGGACTTGCTTGATACTACTTTCTCAACTTTTTGAAAATCAATTGGATGGTTAAAATCTCTTACATGAATAAATAGAGCATTGGAATCTTGTCCAGTTCTAATGCTATATTTATGTTGTTTTAATCTTAGTTCGAGATTTTTACCAGTTTGACCGTAATAAACTTTATCGCAAATTTTACAAGGAATCTTATAGACACATCCATCAGCATTTTGGGGGGAATTCTTTATCAAAAGTTTTTTTACTGTATAAAGAATTTACTGATAAAGAATTCCCCCCAAAATGCTGATGGATGTGTCTATAAGATTCCTTGTAAAATTTGCGATAAAGTTTATTACGGTCAAACTGGTAAAAATCTCGAACTAAGATTAAAACAACATAAATATAGCATTAGAACTGGACAAGATTCCAATGCTCTATTTATTCATGTAAGAGATTTTAACCATCCAATTGATTTTCAAAAAGTTGAGAAAGTAGTATCAAGCAAGTCCATGGTCGACAGGAATATAATTGAATCTTGTTTCATAAAAAGCAGTTTTGACAATAATATGAATATTTCCTTTGGTTTATATAAATTAGATCCATTTATAATTAATAGAATTTGGGAAGAATTTAATAATACACTGGACAAATAATCTTTAAAATTTCTTATTCTTGGGTAGAATAGTTTTGGGGTGAGTTGTGCCAAGGACCTTTCCAAGTTGGCTCGCCGCGCGTCACGTGTTTAAACCGTTGTGGGATCTGATAGTGAGGTGCCGACCAGACCCCTTATATAGCTTCCTTGGATGCTTTACTTTCATAGTTCCTTGATAATGTGAGTAGTCACGAAAGCGCTTGGAATTTCTCTATTCTTTCAGAGTGGTTGTTTTGCATGCATGCATGCATGCATGCATATATATATATATATATATATATATATATATATATATATATATATATATATATATAATATATATATATATATATATATATATATATAATATATATATATATATATATATATATATATATAATATATATATATATTTACCTTAAAATGCCAGTTACTACTATAAAAACTGCTTAATTTCTGGTAGTAAAGCTAATCTTTCATTTCAAGTGTTGTACAAGGCTACAGCTGCTGAAAAAGGCAAGGGTGAAAAAAAAGGTGCATAATGTGTTAAGGGGGAAACTGACCATTCTCCCTGTGCTTTGCCTAGCTATGCCACTATGTTAGTGATGTACATACAGTGGACCCCCGGTTCGCGAAGTCACCGGTAACCGATAAATCCGGTATCCGAAGCGTTATACCGCCAAAAAATTGCCCCGGTTCCCGTAACAAAACCCGGTACACGATACGATTCATACGAGATGTGTCCACATGTGGCCTGAGCTGCCCCGTGTGCACCTGTGTTTACAAGCCAGCCAGTGTGCGTGCATCTAAGGATACATTTGGTACATTCCATATTATCCATATTATCACTGTTTCTGGTGCTTGTTTCTGCAAAATAAGTCACCATGGACCCCAAGAAAGCTTCTAGTGCCAACCCTTCGAGACCAAGGGTGCTAATGACTATTGAAATGAAGAAAGAGATAATAGAAAACTGCTTCGGAGGAGGGGATGGAGAAAGTGAGGAAGTTGCCTACTTCAAAGATTAAGGAAATGTGTGCAAAGTAGCTTGAAGTGCAAACCTTTTTTGATGAAAATCACCCTGACACAGCTACTGCAAGCCGTGTTGGCAACCTGTACACTGACAATGTTGTGAACCACTTTAGGAAAGTCATAAAGGAACGAGAGGTACAGGTCTTTATGGACAGATATGTTGTGCGACAGAAGTCCAGTGACTCTCAAGCTGGTCCTAGTGGCATTAAAAGAAGAAGGGAAGTAACCCCGGAAAAGGACTGGCTACCTCAAGTCCTAATGGAGGGGGATTCCCCTTCTAAAAATTAAAAACTTTGACACTCTCCCCTCCTCCCATCCCATCAATCATCACCAGATCTTCATTAAAGGTAAGTGTCAATTATTCTATTGTGTTTATTCTATTTTTATTATTGCTATTGTAATTATTCTATTGCATTAAACTTAATATTTCATGTGGTAAAAGTTTTTTTTTCATACTTTTGGGTGTCTTGCACGGATTAATTTGATTTCCATTATTTCTTATGGGGAAAATTGATTCGCTTTCCGATAATTTTGCTTTACAATGAACTCTCAGGAACGGATTAATGACGTGAACCGGGGGTCCACTGTATTTGTCTTACTACGTTGAGCTGACTATTTGTCTTTACTCATGTAAGTCATGTCTTCTTAATCACTGTATTTTTCAAAACCCTTTGGGACTGCTACCTAAAATATCCACTGAAAAACATGCAAAGGAAGATTTGCATGAACTGCCAGTAATGTGCCAAATTTACAAATCATCTTCAAATGTGGCAAATATTAGTTAGTTGTTGGAGTGGGAGCAAGGTAATATTTTGTGAAGGGATTCAGGGAAACCAGTTAGCTGAACTTGAATCCTGGAAATGGGAAGTACAATGCCTGCACTTTTAAGGAGGGATTTAGGATATTGGCAGTTTGGAGGGACATCTAAACTGTCATATCTGAGTGCCTCTGCAAAGACAATGATCATGAATGAGTAATGGTGAAATTTTGAATGACAAAAGATTTTTCTTTCTTTCATTTTGGTCACCCTGCCTCGGTGGGAAACAGCTGACAGAAAAGTTGGAGGGACGGGGTAAAGGAGGTTTTGTATACAAGGGCTTGGACCTCCAGCAAACATGCACGAGTGTTATTTTATAGGAGTGAATGGAGACAAATGGTTTTTAAAACTTGATGTGCTTTTGGGAAACTGCGAGCAGGGTAACTTTTATGAAGGATTCTGGGAAACCGGGGCCGGACTTTAGTCCGGGAGGTGGGAAGTACAGTGTCTGCACTCTAAAGGAGGGGTGTCAATGTTACAGTTTTATAACTGTAGTGTAAAGCACGCCTCTGGCAAGACAGTGATGGAATGAATGATGATGAAAGTTTTTCTTTTTCGGGCCACCCTGCGTTGGTAGGAAAGGCCGAGGTGTTAACATATAATACATGTATAAAAAATTATAGTCAACACTGGATTAGTCTGCATACAGAGAAATAAAAGACCTCCAGTATGAACTGGGATAAATCATGGAGGATCAAGTAACCAAGGCTCAAAGTATACATATTACTAAGCAGAAAAAACATATTGCAAAAAAATAATGAATAATAAACCAGTACAGTGAATAAATGCATAGTATAAAATAATAAAGCAAATCATGAAAGAATCAGATTTTACCTGGTGACAAGTACCGTGGTAGGGCAGCGTCGCTCAATAAGTTTAACTCCACTTCGGGTCCTCGTAAAGAAATTCTTCAACTACACTCCCCAAAAGATTGACAGACTGCCACTAGAGCACACAGTCTTAATTGGGAGGACTTCAGTGACAATGGTGTAGAAGTTGAGCAAAGCTTTTAGGGTTTTCTGGGTTAATGTTATACCACTAGTTTATCAACATTATTGCTGTCATCAGAAGAGAATGAGTCTTTATATAATTCCTCAACTTGTTTTGTAAAGTTTTTCAGGGAAGATGAATACTTTTTTTTTTTTGATATTTTTTTCTTTTTAGGTGCTTTGATAAGTGTTACCGTAGTATATGCTTCTGGTATAAGAATATTTTCAGGTGCTGTCACATCAGGAAATACTTCCTTATGAAACTCTTTATTATCACCTAGTATTTTTGTGGGAAGATTACTCGACATCATCTGACTTTTCTTTTCGTGGTCCATAAAAGTTTTGTTGGTTGGATGCACTGTTGTATTGTTTAATGTGTAATCAAATTCATTTTTGTGTATTTCTGTATTTTCTTCTATGTCTTGCAGTGAATTTGATATCATTTGTCCATCAGGAAAAAACAGGTTGTTTTTAGGTGGCATGTAAGTTCCATTAAGATGCTGATTTCCATCTTCACTATTTGCATCAAGAGTGATATCAATAGTCAAATGAGCAATGTCAAATTCACTGGGAGGATCAGTAAACGATTCTAACTCCTGAGCAGAGTCAAAAGATTCATGAAATGTTATAGTACCATGTTTTATTTTATTCCCGAGACATCTACGTAATGACCTCATGTCATTGTCACTGTCACTGTCTGTGTAACATGCCTCAACCTTCTGTTTTAAATATTGAAGAAAATTATTATTATTAATCCAAGGTGGAATGTAATCACTACTGAAATTCACATCCTGGACTTGAGAAACTTTATCCGTCTCACTTATATGAGTCGTATTATATCTGATGAAAAAGGATTCCTGGGACAATGATTCATCACTGGAGATCCAGTGGTTCATAACTTTTGAATCTTCTTTGGTGGGTGATGATGGACGGTGTCTGTGTTCTTCCTGACAATGAAGAAAAATAGAACTGTAAAACATTTAATACCAAATATGTCTTGCCAAACCCAAAGCATAAATTAAATCCCAAATATTTTGAAAGCTGAATATATATACTTTTGCAGAGGGAAAGAGGTACCCAGGAGGTCTATCTGGAATAAAGTACACAGATTATTCACAATGATACTCACTTTTACAGTCCAAATAAGCCCTTCATTCAGTAACATGTCTCCACCTCAAATAACATGTCAATGTATACCAGACTGACAACTAGGAGCTCAACAGCTTTGAGCCCTTCGTGCATTGTTGTATATAACAATTTCACCTTTGCTCTAAATGGTTCCTCAGCTTTGCAATTTGTTTTGCAATTAGTGAGGGTTTGTGCAGGGGCATGGATCCTTTCTGAGCATTTTGTGTGGGATGGATTCCAAATCGTTTGTCAGTGGACCCTGCACCCATTTCGTCCCCAGGGAGCTCCTGCCACTTCTTCAGATTGAAGCACTGGGGCTGGATGGGTTCCTTAGGTTCTGGGTTATTTCTGGGGACAAGTCCTAATTTCTTGCCCATTTTTGGTGGCTGATACTGTAACCAGCAGCTTGACAAATTTACTGTTCAACAGGTTGCTGATGTCAGCAGCTCTTTAGATGTTGTGCACTGCTACAGCTGCCAGTCCCAGCCCTCCTTGTCTGGTGCTGGGGATTGCAAATGCATCAGTGCTTTCTATTGGGAGCATGGACCTCTCGTGCCTTTAGTGTCCCAATTTACACCTCACATTTGCCCATTTCATGGCCAGCAGGATCTTCACTCCAAGGGACCTCTTCTGGGACTTCCCTACCTAGGGATAAGGGAGTTGGTTTCCTATCCACTGGTAAGTGTAGGGGGATATTCAGCACTCTGTAGCAAGTGGGGTGAGGGTATGGGGGCTGTGTGGCAATCCATGGCAAGTGGAATGGGTAAAAGGTTCATAAGCCATACATGAAAAGGGAAGTATGGGTCACTTAGTGCTGTATGGTAAAAAGAAGGCGAATTGTCAAGAGTGAAGAAGCAGCTGAGTACAAAGAGCAATTACAATATGAACACTGAAGAGGAAATTCAAAATGAGTGTAGTAAATAATTTGCAAGAAGACAGTAACAGAATCTGTAGCAAAAGGATGGACTTTGCAAGAGTGTAAAAATAACTACAGTGTAGTGGACCACCGGTTATTGGCCATAATCCGTTCCAGAAGGTTGGCCTAAATCCGAAATGGCCTAAAACCGAAGTAATATTTTGCAAAAGAAATAATGTAAATCCAATTAAATCCGTTTCCAGACACCCAAAAATATTAACGAAAAATACATTTTTTAAATCTATAGTTTTACATACAGAAAACAATGAGAAAGAAATATAAAGCAGAAATTTTAATAATAAATGAACATTACATACCTTTATTGAAGACTTGTTGGCATATGGAAGAAGGTGAGGAGGGGAGAGGGATGGAAATAAATGGTATAAAATACCGACACAGTGGAAATATACACACATATGCAGTATACGTAATGTGATCCTTTACTGACAACGTTTCGCCCACACATTGGGCTTTTTCAAGTCACAAACAGATCTACCTGGGGTGGAAGGTACTTGAGTATTTATAGTCAGGTTCAGAATGCTGTGGTCAGGTGGAGAATGCTGCATCTGATGATCTACCGAGTGGGGTTATAGTCTAAAATCTTGGGTAGCTTGGAAGGCAGATTGGATAAGTTTGTGAGCAGATCTTCTGCAGTGTTCCTCCATTCTAATGCTCTTATGTGGGATAGCAATGAAGAAGTTTCTTGGCAACTTGCCAAGAAACTTCATCGCTATCCCACATCATTATCTGTTTGTGACTTGAAAAAGCCCGCTGTGTGGGTGAATTGTTGTCAATAAAGGATCACATTATACTGCATATGAGGGGAGAGGGAGTTGGGGATATTGTTTGGAAGGGGAATCCCCCTCCATAAGGAGGGGGGTTACTTCCCTTCTTTGTTTTTTACTGGCACTAGGACCACCTCGAGCGTCACCGTATTCCTGTCGCACAAAAAATCTGTCCAGAGAGGTCTGTTTCTGACGTCTCTGTAAAATTTGCCTAAAATGGGACAAGACTGTTATTGAACATGCTGCAGACATGGCTTGCAACAGTTTTGTCAGGGTGATAATTTTCTGCAAAGCTTTGCACCTCACTCCACTTTGCACAAATGTCCTTAATCACTGAAGAAGGCACATTCTCCCCTCCCCTCCCTTCTTCCTCTAAAACAATATCCTCAGCTGCAGTCTGTTGCTGTTCCAGTTGAAGGTGTTGCAGCTCTTCAGTGGTTAGCTCTTCAATGGTTAGCTCTTCCCTGTGGTCGTCCACCAACTCTTCCACATTCTGGCCACTCACATCCAGCCCCATGAACTTCCCAATGAAACAATAGATTCCACAATAGGCGTAGGGTCGTCAGGATCAGCCTCAAACCCTTCAAAATCCTTGTCGAGGACATATTCTGGCCACAGTTTTCTCCAAGCAGAGTTCAAAGTCCTGGAAGTCACTCCCTGCCTTATCTATAAGGCTTATGCAATGGAGGATAATGAAGTGATTCCTCCAGAACTCTCTTAGGGTCAATTCAGTGTCCGAGGTCACTTCAAAGCACCTTTGAAACATTGCTTTGGTGTACAGTTTTTTGAAGTTTGAAATGACCTGCTGGTCCATGGGCTGGATGAGAGAAGCAGTATTAAGGGGCTGAAACTTCACTATGATGAACTTACACTCCTCAAACAATAAGTCTTCAAAGTCTGGAGGATGAGCAGGAGCATTGTCCATTACCAGGAGGCACTTGAGTGACAATTTATTTTCCAGGAGGTATTTCTTCACACTCGGACCAAACAATTCATTGGCCCACTCAATGAAAATTAGCCTCGTGACCCATGCCTTATTGTTAGCCTTCCACATCACACAATTTACTCTTCGTGACATTATTGTTCTTGAACACTGGGATTTTCAGAGTGATACACACATAAAGGCTTCACTTTGAAATCTCCACTAGCATTACCACAGAACAAAAGAGTTAGCCTATCCTTCACAGGCTTGTGTCCTGGCAGCGCCTTTTTCCTCCTGCGTGATGGAGGTCCTCTGGCATTTTCTTCCAAAAGAGGCTTGTTTTACAACAACTGAACACTTGCTGGGGGAGGAATCCTTCAGCCTCTACGTAATCCTTGAATTCATGCACGAATTTTTCAGCTGCACATTTGTCTGAACTTGCAGCCTCACCATGCCTTACAACACTGTATGCCACTACGTTTCTTGAATCTGTCGAACCAGTCTTCGCTGGCTTTAAATTCACTAACAGCAGCACTCGTTCCCGGCATTTTCTTTACAAGATCCGCATGCAACTGCGTTGCCTTCTCGCAAATTATTCCCTCCGAAACACTATCTCCTGCTAATTGTTTTGGTCGATCCACACCAACAACAACAACTCCACATCCTCGATAGTTTGAGACCATCTGTTTGTTAGTATATATTTACACCTTTCACAACATCAGCTTCCTTGATTTCTGCTTTCTTCAACAGGATGGAACTGATTGTTGTTGTAGATTTCCCATAAATCCTGGCCAGCTCTGCCACACGTACGCCACTTTCATATTCTGCGATAACTTCTTTCTTGAATTCTAACGTGTTTCTCACCTTCTTTACCAAAGGGGTGGCACTCTGAACTTTCTTTGGCCCCCATGGTGGCTTATTTCACAGTTGCAATCAATAAACAAGTACCAAAAACAATGGATGAACATGCAGAGTGTTCCTACCCCAACGAGAGAGGCGTGCAGACTGAGTGTTATACGTGTGAGGGAGTGCGTCGCCGGTGGGTGGACATGTCTCATACCAACGATTTCCAAGCAGATGGCCTATACCTAGGGAGGGAGGGGGGTAATTTCGCCGAAAAAAGTGCTCGATTTGTGAACTGGCCAACTTTCACACCGGCCTATGTCCGGGGGTCCACTGTACAGTGGACCCCTACCTTACGATATTAATCCGTTCCTGAGAGCTCATCGTAAGCCGAAATTATCGTTAACCGAATTAATTTTCCCCATAAGAAATAATGGAAATCAAATTAATCCGTTCCCGACACCCCAAAGTATGAAAAATTTTTTTTTTTTTTACCACATGAAATATTAATTTTAATACACACAAACTGAAGAAGACATGCACAATTACTACTCTACTAAGAATAGAATGCATGATACTTACCTTTATTTAAGACCTGGTGATGATTACTGGGATGGGAGGAGGGGAGAGTGTGGAAGTTGTTTAGAAGGGGAATCCCCTTCCATTAGGACTTGAGGTAGCAAGTCCTTTTCCGGGGTTACTTCCCTTCTTTTAATGCCACTAGGACCTGCTTGAGAGTCACTGGACCTCTGTCGCACAACAAATCTGTCCATAGAGCTCTGTACCTCCCGTTCCTTTAAGACTTTCCTAAAATGGGCCATAACATTGTTATTGTACAGGTTGCCAACATGGCTTGTAGTAGCTGTGTCAGGATGATTTTTATCCATAAAGGTTTGCACACATTTCCTTAATCTCTTTATTCAATTCCATACTAATTCTCGCCCTTTTTACCACAGGGATGGCACTAGAAGCTTTCTTGGGGTCTATGGTGACTTATTTTGCAGTTACAAGCACTAAAAACACTGGGATAATGTGAAATGTACCAAATGTATGCATAGATGAGACCACACTGGCTGGCTTGTAAACACTGACGCTGAGGCCACATGTGGGACACGTCCTGGACAAATCACGTAAGGCGAGATTTTTATCGTGAGGCGAGGCAAAATTTTTGCGTTCAAATGCTTCGTATGATGGATTTAACGTAACGCGATGTGTTCGTAAGGTGGGGGTCCACTGTATATGTATCTGTATTTTATGCTCTCTAAAGATGTTGGACTGTCAGAGTGAACTATCATGTCTAGTAATGAGAGAAGAGTCTACGAGCACTACACAAAGTCAGGGCCAACATTTTCTTGAGGTATGATATTGAGATTAATGCGACAAAATGGTAGCTGTGAAGGATGGATAAAGGGAATGCAGAGCTGGACCTCTTTCAAAATTATCTTTCTTCTAGCCTCCACAGATGCCAGCTTATTGAACCCACCCCTAATATGCACGATTCCTAGCCCCACCAGTCTCTCTCTAGTTAAATTCCTATTCCAGTATAATAGTATATGTTCTGATCTCAAGAACACACTTTTTTAACCCAATTCTTTTCTCCATTTCACAAAGGGAAAACTAACAATATACTAAGGGTTGAAAAGGGACTAAAATGCAGTTGCTTTTATTTCTGTTTTTGTTGGGTTGGTGATTTGTTCAAACAATATTTTGACATTTCTTTTTAACCCTTTCAGGGTCCAGAGGCCCTCTTCCAGACATGATCTCAGGTCGCCCAAATTAAAAAAAAAATAATTTTTTATGAAAAGATATAGAATCTTTTTCCGATCATAATGACACCAAAAGTATGAAATTTGATGGAAACTACAAAATTAAAATGCTCTCACGAAGTTAGCGGTCTCGACGATGGTTACGCATCGGTGATTTGCC